GAAGGCTTAATTTGCAAATATTGCAGCAGGAAAATGCATTTTTCAGGTCACTGTGAAGGGCACAGATGGTACTGAATCCATAAACATGAGTTCATTTGAGGTAGTTGAGGGCACTGAATTGCACTGAGATGTCAGGAAGTCAGCAGAGTGACGTTGGGCCTTTGTCACTTAAGGTGCCCGTTCTGCTACAGAGACCCATAATAGCAGATGGTTATGAAGTAAGAACTGTTGCATAAGAAAAGGTTACTGGAGGTGAATGTGCAAGTGATCTTTAGGCAGCACATTCATAAGTTTGATTCAGTAGTTTCTGAAGGTTAGGTAAAGCAATGAACTTTGTCAAGTGCAAATTAACTATCAGCACAGTGTCTGGAGAGATTATTTCCTTGTTGGATGATTCTGCATGTGACCAAATAAATCTAATGCCAGTGCTCAGTGCCAAGTCAGTAAGTGGTGTGGTGAGTAATGGTGCGTTGGTTGGGGGGGTGGATGCGTGTGTGGCAAGTCCAGCTTTCATGCAGGACACTGGCCTATACCTCCTGTCACAGAACTGCAATTACATATCTACTTTTATTAATTAAAGGAGCTATTTGTAAGTTTTGCTCTTGCTACATAGCTAGCATTAGCATTAACAGTTGTTTACTTACCTGTGTAGAAGAAACGTTGTGAGTTCAGCATCACACTTCTTTCCTTTACTCACCAGCAGCTGTCTCCAGCTGTGGAAAGCAACACCAATGTTAACTCTTGTCTCTATCATGTGAGAAGTTAGCATGCTAACCAGCTAGCCCCTGCCCATCTCGTCACTGTCTAAGAGCGACTTACTGCAGCCTCCAGTCTGCCTTGAAGACAGAGGACGTATTATAACCTCTTGTATTATAAAGACAACAATGGCCAAAGCTCTTTTCTTTACACATGGAAATGTATATAAATGCAATCGAAGCACCACTTGTAACATCTAAAAGACTTTCACTCACATTTAGCCCAATTTTGACCTAAATGTTTAGACATCTTTTAACCTGCAAACTAACATCCATTCTTACCAGTATGCTGCTGACAGTTCTCATTTACTATACTTAGAATAAAACAATGGCAGTTTTGCGTTTTTGTCTTTAACTCAAAACAAAAGCAACGTCAAAGAGAGAGTAAGTTTGTTTTGCTGTGTAATTTTGGACCCAGTATAACCTTCCATTCTCCTAAATTACAGCAACTTCATTCTTTTAAGAGTAAAAAAAAACAAAAAACAACCTTTTCTTAAGCCAGAACTCAGTAACAAAAAACTCCATCCACTTCTATTCATTCTATTCTTGACAATATCACGGCTGTGTCCCATAGAGATTCCTATCTAGCCTGAGCTGTGTACGTAAAGCTCCCGCAGCCTGTGTACTTCTTTACACAGATGGCTTGATGCCTCTGAGGCTGCAGAGGGAGTCTGTGGTAAGAAGAGTTAATAGACTCAGTGCAACACACAAAGGAGACTTTATCCCTTATCGATGGAGGGGCAGACTCCAATAAATTATATGAGCTCCAAGCAGGATGATTGAGCTGTGAGTTGAATACTGCTTTTAGTAGCAATTTGGCTTTTTTTGCATTAATGAGATTTTCAAGAGCAGACATGTCTGCAAATTTAAAACTAAAATGTATTGTAGCTTTTTTAAGAAGTAATTTTGTTTCCTACATGTGATTTCCTGTTGAAATGTGATGGTAAGATGGGATACAATACAGGGAAAGATCATTTCCAATAGGAGAGGCAGTTTTATTTCAAGGCAGGAACAGATTTGTTTGCTGGTATGGAGTAGACAAACAGAAATGTTAGCTAAAACCCGCTATGCACAGCATGCCTCCTACTGAAGGGCTGTGCATGAATTTGCAGTAATCTGATACTCTGCATTCAAAGAGTTTGGAGCATTGTTTCTTATTCTTAGCCTTTCCACAACAAAACTACAAGAGCAAAAGTGTAATGCAATGCACTAAGCAATGTTTTTTTTTTATCTGCTCTAACATTAGCCTTTTAGTTTCATTTAGTCTTTTCTCTTGAAACATTCAAACTGAAACATACTGTTGAAAAATGAACAATAGACCTGACCTCTGTCTGTTAGCCAAGCAGCTAAACAGGGAGCTGCAGTTAAATATCATACACATAATACTAGGGTTAATTAGCTGCAATGTTTCTTGGTTTCAATTATCAACTGGGGAGGATGCTGAGATGCTAAGATTTAAAACAAGTCAGCTGGAAACATAAAAAAAGCCAGATACTATAACTAATGTTTGTTTAATGAGCTAGCTACAGCTAATAAAAGTGCCAGCAATTCAGCCAGTAAAGCTGATGATTTCCGGCTAGAAATGAAAACGCTGCTTTTGTCTGCCTCTGTCTGTAATCAAGGAGCCATTTCTCAAAACTAAGACTTTCTTGGTTAAATCTGTCAGGCCATCAGTGTGAACTGTATATTAGCCGTGTGAGAACGGAAAGCTTGTGTCTAGTAATAGCAGCAACAAAGCATGATATGCACTTACTAACGGTACAGAAAGATGTCACTTTTCCTTTATTTGGCTTCTGTGTAAATTTATACTGTTACATTGTCACAAAGCAGTTAAACTCCATTTGTCCTCACGGTAACTCTTCTCTGATGTTACTGCACGTGAGGTCAGCAAAAACAGGCGCTTCATCACAGTCTCAGGAGCCTTCCTGGATGTGATCACTGAAGAGTGAAAAGAAATCTGTGAAGATTTTCTCTCAGAGCTTCCTGGTGTGTCTGTCCTGGCAGCAGGAGAGAGCTGGCACTGCAACAAAAAAAGGGAAAAGATGAAACGGAGATTCAGCAGGATTGGCCACTTCTCTTCTCAAACGCAGCAAACAGGAAGATGCACTGAGGCCCCACACTGAGGAGATTACATGGAGAACAAATGTCATCATGGTGGAAGCGTCAGCAAGGACGCGTGATCCAAAAATAGCTGATGGGCTTGTTACAAACATTTGATTGGAATCAATGTGGTATTAATTGGTGTGGTTTAATTCAGGGAATAAACCTGCCATTTCTTCTATACTTATATTATGGATTGACAATGGAAGACCTATGTTTACATGAGGATCGTTTTAGTGATATCTAGAGTTATTTGGCTCTGTGCCAACTATAAAAACAAATTATCTTTTCATTATCTTCTTTAGCATTTGCTGTGAACCAACTTTATTCATATTTCCACTTTAATATGTTTTGTCAGCTGCCAGGACACATTACTGAATGCCAGACTGATTATCTTTAGACGTCCATATTAATGTTCTTCCCATTCTTAAACAGCTTTAGAAAATATGCAAATGTAATCACACTGAGTGGCCTCACGTTGCCCTCTGTGGATCTGAGAAAGGGAGCATTCCCGTTAAATGGGATTATTTCATTTAATTTCCCTCTCAACAGCCCCACTGAAGACTTAATCTGGGAGCTCATGTTGCCATGGATGTATCGGAGATGACTGAGGTATTTGGCCATAGAAATGGAGAGGCTCTGGATACCAAACAAAAACAAAAAAAAAACCCTCTTTTCAGTGCAGTGGAGAGTTGCTGCTTTATCTTATCTCACAAGGTGTCAGTTTCCATGTTTTCAATCTCCTCCAGGAGTGATCTTTGCTCCCCACAGCAGCTGAGAGGAGAAGCTTTTCAAATAACAAACAACCCAAATCCTGCCAGTTTCTACTGTGCAGCAGCAATGCAGAGCTGTATGAGGTTTTATATGCAGATCCTAGTTTAAATAAACTAAGACAGTCTTTCCTGGCCCCGTCAGTCTTTCCTCTTTATGCTACTTTATAATTCTAGTTTAGTAGTCTAGTTTTACTCCACTTTATGTGTTCGACAGTTGTATAATGCGGAAATGATTAGACAGTTGATCATTTCTGTTGACAGAAAATTAATAACGTTAATCAGTAATCAAAGAGAAAAACAGTTAATCATTTTGGTAATTTATTGAGCAAAAACGCAACATATTCTTTGGTTTCAGGTCAAGTATGTTTTGTTAATCTTTGTTATTTTATATTTTTATAAATTAAATATCTTTTGATTTTTGGACGGTTGGCAAAGCAGTATGAAGATGCCACCCAGGGCTTTAACACTGCAATAGGCATTTTTCATTATTTTTTGACATTTTATAGACAAAACTGTCAATTGATTAATCAATACAGTAAAAATGCTAATAAGAAATGATCATTAGTTGCAGCCCTGTGGTGATACAAGTCACTTTGCCAATAAGGATTTTCCATAAAAAAAAATATGTGATGATCTTTTAAAATATATTGTATTTCTATAAGTCAAACAACCCAGCAGTTTATAAAGCTTTTTAGAAATGATCCAACAGTAACATGTTGCATACACCTAAATGCATCAGTAATAATGATACAATAATATGATATATATATATAATAATGTAGCATTCTGAAATCATGAGTAATTTCAATTTTGGTACATTTATAATAGTTTAGCACTTTTACACTTATACTTGTAACTCAGTATGATTATTTTGGTATAGCTTATTATTCCACCACTACACAAATAGGCTAAAGAGAGCCTCTTCTTAAACAATAGCCTATAATATAAAAGCCTATAATAGTCTTGTGTTCGTATAGAGAAATAATTTGCAGATGATCTATCATGTCTTGCAGGATCACATTATATTCATTAGTCTGTCATTGTTTCCTTATAATCCCCTAAACAACCAGGCTGGTTTTACATGTTCAATAATGCTCACAGTCACAAGTGTCTGTTGTTTCAAAGCTCATTAACGGACCCTCTCCGCACTGACAGATGAGTCGTCCAATGGTTGTTTGGAATCCACTGGTTATCCAATGGTAACCGGTCTGAGCTGATGCTGTTTGCTTATTGGTGAGGAGTGTGTCGTATCGGTTAGTCTGCCTCCTCGGTGCTGATGCCTTTCCTCTGGTCAAGGTTGCTTTTGCAGTGATCGCAGTGAGTTGGACGCGACTGGAGCCCCGTTTACGCACAAGCAGAGCAGCAGACTTGATCAGCCGAGGCTCTGCTGCTGTAACTTCTCCTGTTTGTCTTTGCCTTTCAGGCCACAGAGGAATCTCTCCCCCCACAGCTGCAGCCATGGATGAAATGGAGGAAGAGTTAAAATGCCCTGTTTGCGGCTCTTTTTTCCGGGAGCCCATCATACTGCCGTGCTCCCACAACATTTGCTTGGCTTGTGCTCGGAATATTCTTGTGCAGACCCCCGATGCTGAGTCTCCACAGAGCAGCCGAGCCTCCGGATCCGGCGTCTCAGATTATGATTACCTGGATCTGGATAAAATGAGTCTGTACAGTGAGGCGGACAGTGGATATGGTTCATATGGGGGTTTCGTCAGTGCTCCGACCACCCCTTGCCAAAAGTCACCTAACGGGGTGCGGGTTTTCCCCCCGACTGTCCCCCAGCCTCCTCCGCAACAGCACCTGCTAGCGCAGCCCGGCTCTTTACCCCCGATCCCCCGCAACTCCTGCATCACTTGCCCGCAGTGTCACCGCAGTCTCATCCTGGACGACCGGGGTCTCCGCGGATTCCCCAAGAACCGGGTGCTGGAAGGGGTTGTGGACAGGTACCAGCAGAGCAAAGCGGCCGCTCTCAAGTGCCAGCTCTGCGAGAAGAGTCCGAAGGAGGCCACCGTCATGTGCGAGCAGTGCGACGTCTTCTACTGCGACCCGTGCCGCCTACGGTGCCATCCTCCCCGCGGACCCCTCGCCAAGCATCGCCTGGTGCCTCCGGCGCAGGGGCGGATAAGTCGCCGGGCGAGTCCCCGCAAAATCTCCACTTGCACAGAGCACGAACTGGAGAATCTAAGCATGTACTGTGTACAGTGTAAGATGCCTGTATGTTATCAGTGCTTGGAGGAAGGAAAACACGGCACACATGAAGTCAAAGCTTTGGGCGCAATGTGGAAACTGCACAAGGTACGTGAGTAAATTAAGCTGCAAAACCTTTGTTTGTTGTTTACCAGTTGTTGTTCGTGAGTCTGTGTATATTTGTGCGTGTGCGTGTGTGTTGTGTGTGTGTGTGTGTGTGTAGCCTTCGCAGCGACGATGATGATGAATCAGTTCACAGTGATTCATCATCCTCTGAGCTGAGCAACAAGTACGCCTTGAAAATAATGTTCGCTATCTTGTCAGCTCCGCTTAGTATTCAGCAGACACACACAGCGCTGCAGGAGAGTTGATTCCGTCACACTGGATTCAGATTAATGCCTTATAATGCACATTATAGTAACTCGGTGGATTTTCTTCCCTGACACACCTCCAGCTCACATTTCAGTCAGGAGGAGAAATGTGCACGTCTCCAAACTGGGAACTCCGCTGTCTTCAGTGCGCAGTGCTGTGTTTGTAATTCTGTTCACGAGTGGACAGCAGGCCTCTTTTTATCAACAGGAAACCGCTTCTGTCACATCTGCTTTTCTCCTTTTAAATGATAAACTGAAGTTGCACAGAGATTCTGGCATGATTTCAGCTCTTGACCATTTGTCTCCTGAGCTCCCAAACAGAGAACTCCTTCCACTCCAAAAATGTTCCACTCCCTTCTGTGCTTTAACAGCTCACAGGTGCTTCACAGATCATTAGACACGCTAATACTGGAGCTATGCTTTAATAAGAACCGGCAGTTGCAGGCCTGTTAGTGTGGACTGAGATGCTATTTTGGAAGCCGAATTGTTGTGGGCAGGGAGGCACGGGCCTCAGCAGGCAGAGCTGAGTTCATATCTCTGCCTCCGCACCAGCAGCCCTCAACCTCCACACTCCAGCTTCCAGTGAAGAGGGAGGATGTGGAGCTAATTATAGATGCTCTCCAATACTCACTCACACACCCACACACACACACCTGGAGTGGGATGTGTAGTGATGATGTCCAAAAAAATGCATTGAGAATTTGTCCAGCTGCCTCCCTTCAGGTTTAGATAATCTGCCCTCATCACCAGAGCTGGTCCTATGTGTCTCCAAAACAGCCATTTAACAGACCTCCAGTCCAATCATCTCTCCTAGATGATGGTGTGATAGTGTGTCACCTCAGATGTATGGGGCAATTGTAAAACTGATGGAAAAATCAGAGGGGGGTTTGAGCATTTCACTCACATCAAATTGCCATCACTTGAAAAGTTGCTGACCTTTTCTGCTTCTTCGTTCTTGGATCTGAAATGAAAAAAAAGAAGAAGCTAGGAGTATTTTTAGAAACCAATCAATGGTACCAGGGATATTGGTGCCAACACCCAGCCCGTCGCCCTGTTTTTGGCTTCCATCAGGGCACCTGCTTATTTCTGACCTGTCATCTGAAGCTGCTGCCTACAGAGCTGTGACAGATGGCTCGGAGCTCGGAGCTGGCATCTTTTGAGGATGGGTATCTTTTGAAGCTTCAGGGTTTTCCTCATATGGTTCATCAGGGAAAATGAGACTGTGCTCCATATCCTGCAGATATACTCATAAATCAATTGTACTGGTGCTTAATGAATTTTGTGAAGGAACTCAAGGACGTAGTCAAAGTGGTGGCACTGACTTCCCCTGAAATCTGATTGGTCACTCCTCCAATTTTCCTGAACAGCAAATGTTTGCCCAATTTTCTGTCGATTGACTTCTTTTAAGTGGTCAGAAGACGTGCTACGGGTAATACATGCTGGCGTACTTTCATGTTTTCAAGAACCTTCACGATACAGTAGCTGAAAATAGATTTCACACAATAATCCTGACATTTTCAAATAAACTTGGGTTTTACATAATTGAGTCAAAATGAAGTATATTGCATATTATGTAGTTTATTTTTCATGTTTACCAGTTCTTTATAGATACATTGTGCATGCAGTGCGTAGCCACACAATGCACACTGTCAAATGTGTGTATTTTTCTTGGCCTGTGCATCTTTAAAGCAGCACGAACTGACTTGTTTTAGCCACTTGGGAGCAGAGCAACAAGATGAAAGCACAATACAGATATATCATCACCTTATTAAGATGTTATGACTAACATATTAGCAAACAGTTGCCTCCTTACATATCCAGCAGACATGAAGACAGCATTAGCATTCACTTAGGGTTGTGTTTCTGGCCACCAGACAAATGTAAGGCTAATACTCACATTCCTTTTAGTTCTGCTTTGGTTTCCCCCGACTCCTGAGAAAATATATCTGTCTGTTTAGCTCCTAAATGTTTCACTGTGTTCACCAGATAGTCGCTACCTTTGTTTGTTGTTTGGTGCTGGGGAGGTGGATTTTTTCTTTTGGCTGAAAACAACAACCTGCCACTGCTGGGTGTTGGGAGGAGTGGGTGTGAATCACAATAGTGAAGTTCTGGGCCATAAAACCAAAACGTTGGATCTGAAATATGCTAAACTGTGACGCTGAGTTTAGGGGAACTGCAGATGATAACTCCAGTATAAACTTCATCCAGTATAAATATAATGGATAGTGCTGCTTTAAAGTTTGGCTTTGGAAAAAACATCCCGGATTCCAATACACACTGTATTAATGCTCTTTTACAAATACACATACAACCACAACAAAATGCACAAATGCACATAAACACACACACAAACATCCTGCTTCTCCCTTTATATGCAAACTGATCAAAGCTGTTGGTAGTTTGAGTTTGAGCTTTTGTGACTGGGCTGCTGCATTTTTTAAGCATGGCTGTCTAACGTTGATGCAGGAAGTACTCCATTTGAACTTTTTAGTGCCGCACCTTAAACCCACACCTGCATTTACATTTCAGAGCCGAATATTTGGCAGCACGCTCCTCTATGCTTCTATCACTTAATAAGATCTCGACTGTTCTCCATGTGGGATTTTCTCCAAGGCTTTTTAATCTGTAGCATCGTCATCGTCATCGTCTCGGTACACAGGGACAAACTGTGCTCTCTCTATCTTTGTGCAACATTTCTCTTTTCATGGAGAAAGAGTTGAATCACCTGCCGCCATGGCAACCAAAGCCCTCTTGATGTTGTGCAGAGCAGCAGAGGTCTCTAAGATACTGGACCCCACAAGGAATCCATCCCAGATGCCTTTCAGCCTTCCCCTCCTTCCTCTACAGTACGTGTGTGTCTGAATGCAGCTTCAAATCATTACTCCTGCTATTCATGCTCCTTATCTGCCATTTGCTCACACATCTCCTCCCTTGACTCGTCTGCTGGTCTCAACAGGCAAAGCGCCGCGTTTTATCTCTACCCCCTCCTCCCCCATTTTGGATTGCGTGACTGTGTCCAAACCACGATGGTGATCAATTTCACATCTCCAAAGTCAATTTCAGTTACAACAGACGAGCAGAAATTTTAAGAGCTACACAGAGCGACTCGTCCGGCTCTCGTCCGACTCTTCAGATTTGTGTCGGAGGGTTTTATGTGTTGACAGGACGTCTGCGTTAATCTCAGTAAATCACATTAGAAAGAGTAAAGTGGCGTCGTCAGAGTGTTAAAGCTCTGCACAGCCAGTGGTCCTCGGCTCTTTACGGATGTCACAAGAGGTCGCGCCGGACCCCAAATCCAATCCTGGTCACGCTCTGTCACCTCACTCTGTTTAGTGGCAATTAAAGGTGATTAACCAAATGGAAGCTTAAGTACAAGACGATGTGTGGGTGCGCAGAAAACAAGTCGCAGATTGCAGCAGAAAATTAGTCATTTGCCCTCTTGCCACGCGAGGAGAGATAAATCAGAGGCAGCAGGAGGAGATTTTAACTCAGATGACCCTGAAAGTTTCCATTTGAGCTCCACATGAAAGCAGAAAACAGTTGTAGAAGTGAGTAATTTGAGGAATACACATGTGATTTAAGGGATTTTTCCCACTTCTAGTGTGCACATGTGCTACGCTTTAATGTCGCCATGTGTTTGATCACAAGCCTCCTGACATATACAGACGGATCCTCTGGAAGGTTTCATACGAGATGCCCCAAAAACCGAGCTAATGAGGACAGACAGAGCAGATCCTCGGACGAATATTAAAAGACTCGTCTCGGTCTTGAGGCAGATGTTGTCAGCAGCGGCTGATTCACTTTGTGGATGAGCTACCTGCCGTCCTGCCTCAACTCAGTGGGAGCAGAGGAAAAGTCGGGCACAGGCGGCGGGATCCCTGTCGTTCTCTCCTGCTTAGTAATGAGACTAACTGTCAGTCTGAATCCATTGTATCCACGGTCGGTCCTGCAGTGTTAGTGCACAGCACTCAGGACATCCAGACACAGACCAGCAGGAAACTGTCCCACACAGAGGATATATGAACCTCTTTAGAGAAGAGAAGAAATGCGCCATGCTACTTACTGATGCAAAACACTGTTATTTATTACACAAAGGTTTCAACCCAAAGGTGTTCAGCATGATAACTGTGTTACCATTGACAACTGCTTAACAACAGTGAGCGTGCTGGCAGTAAAGCTATTGATAATGACATTAGAGATGAAATCAGCGGATCACAGCACATTAAACGTGAGATTCTCCCAGTTCAACTTTCTAAGCATCAAATTGATATTTTGAGCTCATAAACCCTGATAGTTCTGAATCAGGAGCTCCATTATTTGGATCAATTAGTTTGTGAAAACTCAGCCAGTTGTTATTTCAGTGTGTCTGAACGTTCGATATCGATCAATAATCAACATTTCATGCTTTCTGCTGCTCAGATGATTTTCAGTTTGGGGCTGCAGGTTGTTAATACTTATCTTAGTCTCACCTCATTAACATTAATGCTGATTGATTCAGTAGCCGCCACTAAAAACTTCTGGCTTCCTGCCCAACAGCAGCGGATCAGAGATTTAAACTGAATCTTTTTTATAACTTTCGTCAGTTGCAAAGAAAAATCAAAGCTAAACTTAATGAGATTCAACAGGTGATTCGAATGGATTCAGATTAATTAAGATATTTGGATTTGACGCTGGATTTTGATTCAGTAAAATGCTGACGAACTGCAGCCCCACAGACCAATCTAAATCTGATCATGT